TTTATATATGCAGTAGGCTATTATAAACATTACATTTAGTTAGTTGACAAAGGTTTTTTTTTTAATGAATTAGTATTCATTAAAAAAAAAAATTATTTTTTTCATTCTGTATTATTTGTCAGCAGCCATCATTCTCATGACAATTACCAAAAACTTTACGTAAATTCCATTACCAGATTTAAATGACTATTATTTGATAATTTAAAATTATTTTAAATGACTTAAACAGTGATTTAGATATAAGCAAATTAAAAAAAAACATGGAGAATATTAAGTGCAGTAAACTAGTCAACAATATATTGAAAATATGATGAACACCGATTAATCATTTGCATTTATGCTCTGCCAATCTTCTTCACTAACTACCATTGCACGTCTAGAAACTACAACCGGTTGTAAAGCTTTTTTGATTATTTGATCCCATTTATACCATATTTTGTCTTCACGATTTGGATATTTAAATTTGTTCATTCCTGTCAATTGTAATGTGGATACTTTACATTCATCTGAAACTGCATCTTTATCAAGTATCTGCCCAACGTAACGCTTATTATCGTATTGAACAATACATCAGTCGTGCCTTCGAGCATAATAAGTTTAACTGTCATTGGAAGTTGTTCGACATTTGAAGCACCATCAGCATTTATCAGATCGTGTGACTGGCTAACTATTTGAGATTGCCCATCTGCAACTAGTTGTACAATATCTGTTGCTGTATTGAGCAGATCGGATTCAATCTCAGCAACATGTTCATTTTCATTTTCTGCAACGACTTTCAGCAGACCAAACTGAACCCTCCGTGCCTCATGGCAATTACATGTATTCGGGATCTGGCAAAATCATGAAAAATTACGAACAGAAACAGTTCCTTTCTTAACGAATTGCAATTGATGTAGCTTCATTGTTCCTGCAATAGGTTTCACTCCTTCGGGGATTATTTTAGCTATAGCACCAATATCTTTTTCGCTGACTACAAATAGCCTGATAACAGTTTTCTGGTGTAAAGCTTCTACAAAATTTGAAGCTGAAGTTATCATGACACCATGGTCGGCTATTTGATCAGCGGTACGTTTTAGATCGCATCTGCTGCGCTCTTACCATGGCCAGCTTCCAAGTAATTCCAGCTGCCACTTGTAAATCTTTCATCATACATATAATGACAAGTTAACACCATATGATGCTTGTTCATATACTGTGTTGTTGGCCTATCATTCCAAAAATGTATTGTTGTAAGCGTTGGATGATGTTCTTTTAGATGACGCAGAATTGCCAGCAAATGAGCCCATATTGCAGCGGGCTCATGCTTGGTGCAATCTGACACTGTGCAAAATGATAAAATTTCTTCCTTCAAGTATGAAACACCGGTGTGTATGGATAATTGATTGTACACGTATAGTTTTCTGAAAAGTCGACAACTAGTACTGCAGTGCTATCCGAAAGGCTAGGCTTCAGCATGCAATAGTTTTTAAATTGGTGTGAATACGTGAAAACATAATGATCCTACAAGCTCTCCAACAGTCCCGTTAATTTCCTGTTTTATAGTTCTTTTTACTATTGTGTTCTTATCTTTGATCAGTCTGTTTTCCTGAATTGTGTTCCATTGCTGCCATTTGCATGGTTGTTCTCCACCAAACTCTCTTTCCAGTAATTCTTTATCTTTTAAGCAATATGTTTCACAGGTTCTCAAAAAGCACTCTTTTTGCAAATTATTGCATACTATTTTTTTACACAATTACAAACAGTCATATATTTTGACGGCAAGATCTTCAGCTGAGCAAGCTTGTTAATAATAAAGCGTCCATTTTCATGCAGCTTGCAGAGGCAAGTTTCTCTGTCACGTGCAGTCGAAATTGTGTTAACGTCGAAGTTGTGAAAACGTGTTTCTCTGTCACGTGCAGTCGAAATTACCACCCAAAATGGTTTACAAGCACAAAATGAAGCATATGAAACTTTTATTTTTGGGTTTTCTACAGCAAACTTTTTGTGCAGATCTGAAAGTGTATTTAGCAAAAGTCTTCGTTGTTTTGTTTTTTTCACCTTTACGCGTGATAGTGTCATTCTTGCTGGTAATTATCCTACTGTTAACATCTCTTTCATAGAATACAACAGATGCATAACGAAATACTGTAGACTTATATCTTGTAGACTAATATATTACACAATACTGTGAGCAATTTGATCTTGGCGTGTATTAATACCAGTGAAATGCTGACATGTTTTCATTAGTTTATACTTCCTCATCAGTTTAGATGTAATAATTTTTGCAATGACAAACTTTTCTCTGTCTGATTTGGTCGCTGAATACTTCTCGCGTAAGGTATCACATAAAACATTATGAAACAGAAGTGCTCTTTTGATTTCAGAGCGCCCATACGCTGTTGCGTTTCTCGCCATTGTTTCTGTTGACGTCGCTGCTCACGTTCAGTCTTCGGCTTTGTAGCTTTTCTTCTTTGCATTTGACGCTCTCGTTCCTTCTTCTTGTAATCTTTAATTTTCACAGGATTATTTCTTATTTTGGCTCTGAATTTCGATTGCCTTTCCTTGTTTGGTTTTGTCTTCTTTGCCATAATCGTAATTCAGATCTCTGATAGAAACAAATATAATATCAGTTCTTTAATACCGATAGCTTAGCAGTAAAGTAGAACTATTAAATGATGAATAAAAAAATATTTATGGTTTAAAATAATAACTATACTTATGGTTTAAAATAAAAATTTCTGATATGTAAGTTCTTAGTTATCCAACTAATAAACTGGTTTTTTACATAAACGGTCATTTATTTAACATGTTTGTCAAATACGTAACGCTATTGTTACGTCCGTAACGTAATCATGACTGTTACGTACTTGACATTTTTATTATGTTTCTGTTCATACGTTTAAAATGAATTAGTCAATTCAATGCAATAATGATTTTTTTTTTAAATCATATAAATTTATCATATAAATTTCAAAGATATAAATATTTACCTAAATAAAAACTCATCCGTTACGTGCCTGACTATTCAAAAACATACGCTATGAATCTATTTATTTTAAAATGACAACGCGATAAAATTTGCCTTAATTACCGCTCATATATAGATTCCTAATAATACGCAAATACTTTAAAATGAAATAAAGCATTTTTTTACGGTAACTACCCAAGGGATTTATTATTTTGTCAGTGAATTGTAATTGTTATGTACAAAATAGTAAAATGGAGGACTTTTATTTAGCAAACACGCAACCATATAATATAATTAAAATATTCAAATCAGACATTTTAATATTGTCAATTCAAAAGTTTAGCAATAACTTTGGTGATTTTAATGAAAATCTAAGCAAAATATAGCACTATTAACACCGAGGACGCGTAAAATCTGAAACCTAAGCCACTTTCAACTTCAGAAAACCTTAGACCATTAAATTTAAGAAAGATGAAACTTTCCAAAATATTTAAAATTTGTATAAGTAGCTGTTTCAGAACATAAGATCATAATTTTTATGACGCAAAATGTTTTAACTATATGTTTAAAATTATTGGACAGGCAAAATGCACCTAATTTCAGAAATACTCATATATCACGTATACTTGACGTAAAATGCCGTTGCAACCCTAAATTTGTATTTTTTATAACGGTTTTTATTTTATATTTGAATAATATGGCTGATAATTGCCGAACGGCATGAAACTTTAAGTTCCATTGTAAAGTTGTATTTTTTCATTTAAATTATTTGAATATATATGTATGTATGTATGTATGTATGTATGTATGTATGTATGTATGTATGTATGTATGTATGTATGTATGTATGTATATATATATATATATATATATATATATATATATATATATATATATATATATATATAATTTTACATTGTTTACTTCAAGTACTATATTAAATTTTGTTCTTGTATTTTTTTACCTTTTTACAAATTTCTAGTAATATGTGTGGGTTATAATATGTAACAGTTAATACTGTTACAAGTGGAATTATAACTGTTGCTTTTTCTACTGGACATTCTAGTTCTGTTGTGTTGTTTAAGTGTTGTTAATGAACCAGATCTTCTTTTATAATTAGCGTCAGATTACTTAATTACTTGTCGGTAAATTTTTGATAAAATTTTAAAAAATAATATTACTAATGAGTGCTTCCTGCATGCGTAACTGTGTTTTTGATATTATATTTATCTTTAATAATATTAAAAATCTTTATGACGATGAAACTATCTTAAATAATAATTTAAGATAGTTTCATCTATAATTTATAGATATAATTTTTAAGAGTTTTTTAAGTTTATGTCTTTATTTACGATTTTCTGTAAAATACACAAACATTAAATCGACTAGAAAAAAATAAATAAATTAAAAATAAATAAACCAAAACACACGATAAAATTGAAAATTTAAAAGCTATATCTTAAAAACTGCGCATTTACAAGTTGATAAATTTTAACCATTTAGAATTTGTTATATTCTAAAATGCCTAATAATTTGTAAAAGGGTTAGAACTCATAGCTGCACTACAAAACTGAACGATAGTCTTCGATCTATATTTTATCATGGTTGAAAAGACAAATTTACATATAATTTCATTTACTGTTTATTTTTTTAGAAACTTAGTTTACATAAAAAAACCTTTAAAAACACTATTAAATAAATATTCAAAAAAAACTTCATTTATAAAAATATACAAATTCGCTTACAAAAAAAGAAAATTGAACAAAAAAAATATTTAAAGTAAATACGTTTAAAATTGTATTGTAGGCTGTATTGTCTTTGTATTGTAATTGTTGAATAAATCTTAAAATATTCAAAAAAATATATACGTAAAGAAATAACAATAACTTGCTAAGAAGTTTCATAAGGGACCGTCCATAATAACTTGCTAAGAAGTTTCATAAGGGACCATAAATTACGCAAAGCTAAATTCAAATATTAAACAAAACATAAAATGATCACAACTTTTCCCTCGCATTAAACAATTAAACAAAAGACTAAATTCAACTTACAAGTTCAATGAAAATCGCCGCGCTAAAGTGCAAATGAACTTTTTTATTTTAAAAATAAATTTAGCGTCGCGTAATTTATGGACTGTTCCTAACGCTTTCATAAGACTATTTAGGAGAATAAGATCAACCATAGCATCATTGCCAAAGTTGTATGCCAAATTCACGCATACTATCCATTTAAACAATTTAATTTAAGATTTGTTATTCGTTCAACCAATCAACTTATAATGTATTGTTTTTTCAATCAATCATACCTAAAAATTAAAGAAAAAATTAGTATAACTTAAAAAAAAAAAGATCAAAAAATATCAATACCTCAGTGAAACAAATTTATCCAATGTTCTTGTCAAAACGTTCTTTATTAACAATATTAATCTAATCTTTTGTAGTCCATTAAAAATAAAACTTTAAAGGCTTGTTTCATTGAGGTATGTTTTATGCAATTAAGTCGTAAGAAAATGTTTCCAAACCTTCGAGAGTTTTTGACACCTGAAATAAAGAATATTGTTTCTTCGCTGAAACTGAAGATCTAGATCGCGATCGAAAGTCTGTGTTAGGAGATTGCGCTTTTTCAACGTTAGGTAGTATATGAGCAATGTTACCGACTGACAATCGGTTGACCTTACGTGAAGCATCTGATTGTTTTACATCTCTCGCATTTGAGATGCTTTCACTGTCCGCAGGAATAGAATTATTGCGCTCTGTTGGTATAGAATTATTGCGCTCTGTTGGAATAGAATTATTGCGCACTGTTGAAATAGAATTACTGCGCACTGTTGGAGCAGCAATCGGGGTAATAGGCTTTGAAACAGCCGTAGTAACTTTCATAGTTTTTTTACTAGGAGGAGCTGGAAGAAGATTACCTTTCAAGGTATTGCCAGTCGGACGTGGACGAGAATTCTAAATAATAATAAGGTTAAGCATATACGTAACTAAGTATCCGCTAACATGCACATAAACGTAACTAAGTATCCGCTAACATGCATATATACGCAACTAAGTATCCGCTAGCATGCACATTTACTTTTTAAACTACTAACCTCACATTTAATTGAACTTAAATCGTTTCGTGGTGTTGATGAAGTCTGAATTTCTGATGGGGAAATTAAATCTAGGTTATTGCTATTTAATGTTTCAAATGATAAATTTATTTCGTTTGTTGCTTTAAATCCATTTTCGTCAAAGTTAGTTTCGAAAGAATTAAAAAACGCTCCACTAGAAAACTGGTCAGAATTATTGTTTATTTCAAGATTTTCCGTTCTGCCGACTAAACTTGAAAGAAATTGTGAAAAACTATCAGATTCCTTTGTTTCGCTTTCTAATCTTGCGGAACCATTTTGTGAATACATATTATTACAACTTTGGTCAGAATTAACCCGAAAGGGATTCGTTGGTAAGTTTAAAACATCGTTATCAAAAGATTCACTGATACTTAATTCTTTTTTAACAACGTTATTCCAATGTGGATTATCGGCAAAAGGGTCATTAGTAAGTGCAAAGTCTTGTTCAGAGGGACTTTTACTTAAAAAATCAAAAAAGTCTGTATTCGAAAGACCTGAATCGGAAACCTTGGAATCTTGAAGTTGGTCGACTATTGACGGATCAACATTATGATCGAATGGACGACTGTGCATTGCATTATTATTAGAATTCGAATAATTAAACCAATCAAAGTCGTTCAAACTCGAGTGGTTGTGAGCTGAGGCATCTTGAAAAACTTCATACGATGAGTTTTCTATATTAGAAAGAAAGCGAGCATTATCAGTGATGACGTTTTCAGATGTATTTTCTTTAACTAAATTTTCTTCTAATAAAGTAGACGATAATCGGGCAGATGCACTTAAAGGAACTGTCCTAGTGAGCGGTTCATCCTAACATATAATATATAAAATATAGAATATTGACATAGCTTCATTAAAAATAATGTAACTAAAACCTATTCTTAAATACAAACAAAAATTAAATAACATAAGAACATAAAATGTAAAATAATGGAGAAATACGGTAAAAAAAAACTAAATTAACTTTGTCTTAGACTTAAATAATTAATTAAGAAAATAAGTCTGGGACAAGAAATTAAAAATATATATATTTTGAAACACACCATTTGACGTGGTGAACTTAATAAAGTAGATGCTTCAATTCCTTTCTGAAATTTTGGGTTTTCTTTTTTGAACTCTTCAATATGTGCACTAATATTTATTAGTTCCTTGTTCTTTTTTAGCTCTTCTTTTTCAGTCTGTATATAACGTTTATATGCTAAATCAAATGCTTCGCCAAATGTTAGCGTTAAATCTGTCGCCTAAAAAAAAAAAGTAGAAATTATTTTTTTTTGAAACATTTTAGTAAACAAAGAAAATATATTTTTATACTTTGAATAAAAATTATGTCCACTGACATAATTTTTATTTTATGCGCTTAAAAAAAAAAGAAAAGTATAGCGGCAGACATAAATAAATTACACGCATCTTCAGCAACGTTGTCATAACAACAGTGAAGTTTTAAATATAACAACACAGCATTGAACAATAAGTATCCTTTCTAACACCATTAAAGCTTAAATGATTGTTTAAATTTAGCACAATTGTTACTTTATTAATTTTAATTTTTAAAATCGCTTTTATAATTTTAAGATGATTTTTTTTCAGAGTAATTTGTTTATTATCAACATGAAGACAATGAAACTTTTTTTTATAAAAGAATTAATATAAAAGAATTGGTACCGTAGACTAAGGTTATTTTGGACAATAAAAATTTAAAACTTTGTTTAGATACATATATAATTCATATAGTTTAATATAATTAAATGTAGCATCTGTAACTTATCTTAAAATGATGTTACAGTTAATAATATAACTATATTTAGTAATATGGATGCTAAATGTATCTAAACAAAATATTCAACTTTTATCCAAAATTGCCCCATGTCCAAAGTAACCCCAGTTTACAGTACTGTTTTGTAAAAAAAAGGATTTTCTGAAATCCATATAGGGGGCTAAGGGCTAAATAAGTCAAACGGAAGCATTACACTCCAGTATATACACTCCGTAATACATTGCTATTGTTATAACCAATTTTGGTAGAAATTTCTATGCTGGTCAGGAATCTTATAAAAACATAGGTCTGAAACGATCAAGCAAAATTATCAAGTCAATGAAAAGTGGTTTAAATTTATTAAAACGTTAATAATATAAAATAAACACTATCTTTTAAAATCTTTTTCATAAAACTGACGTAATTAAGCGTAAACTAACTTCAAATAGTATCAAAAAAGCTCGTTCGGTTCGCATTAGTATTATTATTATTAGTGACTTAGTGATAACTTTTTGGTGTCAGTTAAAAGATCATTAAAAAAAAATTATAAATTTAAATTTAAAAGAACATTTTTAAAGCATTTTTAAAATCTAGTTGGTTAGAAATATTTTTTTCTAAAGATTAAAAACGACGTTAAGAAAAGACTTAATTTAAATACTATACAGTAGAGCAATAAAAAAATATAGTGCATAACTTAACTTAGCATTCAATAAATAATATAATAATATAATAAGTTATAAGAATTTAATCAAGTTATTTTTATTAAAAAAATTTAATAATAGAAACAAGTTTTTTATCAATTATCAAACTTCAATGAATAGGTTGTTAAAAGGGATAAATAGTTCAACAAGTCAACAATTAGAAAATTTGGATTTTTGTCTTATTTTTGAGTTTTACAGTCTAGCACATTTCTATCATAATAAAGCATATATTTTTACAAAAAATTAATTTCAAACAAAATAAATATGTTCATACTGTGTCTTCAAGGTTCATGTTGTTGTTCAATTCTTCAAGTTTTACAGAAACACATAGTGTAACATCAAGATTTATGAGACAGGTATCACTTCATGTTATTTGTAGAATTTTTATGAAATTTAAACAGGTTTCTCTGGTGATCATGGCAAGCAACACAGTATTTGCAAGCATGGTGCTAACTGATCAGTGAAATAGGTTAGCAAAAATGAAAAACTCAATTGTACAGATAGAAACTGCTTCAATTATTGATAATTTTGCATCATACTTTTTTAAAGCAAAAATACTTTAAACAAAGGTTGATGCTTAAGTGGTCCAGACAATGCTGTATATATAACATTTCAACTCAGATGGAGGATAAGTAATTCTTGCAGTGGCTTATTTCGTGAAAATTCGTGCCATTAAAAAATTCAGGTAATTAGTTTAATTTTTAGATTATTCAACTCATTATTTAAACAGATGTCACATATATCACAATATTATAATATATACAGTTGACACATGTAACATATCAATATTTAAATAGATACCACATAAATTATATTATTATAATACATATAAGACACTTAATACATGTTACATATCAATATTTAATGTCATTGCTAAATATCAAAAAAGTTTGGCACAAATTACTTCAACAGAGTTATGGAGAGCCAAAGTTCAGCAAATTATCGAAAAAATGCTTTAGTCATCTGCAAGGAAAAGCTCTGAATAAATTTATACACGCATGCAAATAGTCACTGGATTTCAAAATACCGATTTGTTTTCCCTCAACATAAAATTATTCAGTCAAAATTACAAATACATTTGAAACACCATCATTTCAACATTTTTTTCATCTCAACTATCAGAGTCTATGCCAAAACGACCACTATCAGCACTAGTAACTACAACATCTCAGCCACTCCTTTCTGAGTCTAAACCAACATCTAACATCAGTATACATTGCATAGCATCAACTTCAAAGTTATCTCTAAAAGAGGTTGTAAAACAATTGCAGTCCAATTGCTTGCCACAACTTTGCAACAAATGGACTAATTGTTTGCCACAGCTTTGAGTCAAATGTTTCTCATTCAACACAGTGACACAAAAAAATGTAGACATGCAAAGATTCAATAAGCTCAAAATACTTAAAAGATTAAAAGATGGATCAAATCAAGCAAGGAAACAATGTAAGCTTAACTTTGATGACAGGCAGTAAATAAACCAAGCAACAACAGCGACTCCAATAACAATAGCAGCTGCAAACCAAGTCAAGTGTAAGAAGTGTATAGTGAATGGTATCAGTGTGAAATATGCACTGCTTTGCTTCATCAAACATGAGTTTTAAAGAAAAAAAAAGAATATTATTAATTGGTTGTTTTTTTTAAATTGTTATCAAAAAACTTAAAAACAATTTATTGTTATTTAAATATGTAATTTGTTGTATATTTAAATACAACCTAAAAATCTCCACAACTTGGAATTTTTTTTTTTTTTTTTTTAATACTTTATTTGAACGCATTTTATTCTACTAATTACATTCAAAGCTGTGCACATAAAAAAAAATATATTTTTTTAATCAATTTTTTTTCCAAGCAAAATGTATATAATGCTTTTACAAAGAAACTGAAAATATTTTAAATATAATTTGCTCAACTAAAACTTGGATTTCTTTGAATGAGTATGAAGATAACTATATTTTCAACTTCTAGGTTTTGTAAGAGTTTTGTTCAAAAGACAAAATAATAAAGTAAAAGTTGTAAAAGTTCTGATTTACGTAAGGAAAATATTGTATGTAATGTAAGAATAAGAAGTGGGTTTCTGAATCAAAATTTTGAACATAACTTTCCAACTCAAATAACTTTCCGAATCAAATAACTCCGACTCAAATAACTTTCCGACTCAAATAACTTTCCGACTCAAATAACTTCCGACTCAAATAACTTTCCGACTCAAATAACTTTCCGACTCAAATAACTTTCTGACTCCAATAACTTTCTTACTCAAATAACTTTCTGACTCAAATAACTTTCTGACTCCAATAACTTTCTTACTCAAATAACTTTCTGACTCAAATAACTTTCTAAACATTGTGTTTTCAGAAATTCTGATAGAAAAATATAGAAATTGTAACTAATGAAATTTTTAACAGCAAAATCTACTTATAAATCTTTCACAAACCAAGTTAATATTGTTAAACTGTTATATTACAATTAAAGATTTTAAACTTAAAAATAATTAAAATGAATTTTAAATTTATTGTTTTATTAACTTATAATATATCAATTATATGATTGATGTAATAAAACTACTGCATTTACAAAAACTGAAAACAAAAGAAGAAATCGAAAAAAACATAAAGAAAAAAAAATCTAAATTTTAATCTTGTATTGTAAGTACTTTTTATTATTGAAGAATAATTTTAATCTTGAAGTATTTTCATTATTGTTTATATTAAATAACAATATATCAATTATTTGATTGATGTAATAAACCAAAAAAATAATGATGTAATAAATCGAAATTAAATAAAAAGAAAAAAAATATATTTTAATTTTATAATCTTGAAGTATTTAAAAAATATAAGTTAACAAAAAAATATTTTTATTAACAGAAACCTCTTTTTCACACTTCAGTACAAAACAGGAATGAGTGTTGCTTTCTTGGTCTTTTGCTATAAATGAAAATATCTTTTTATCAGTGTTGTCATCAGCACAGTAGGATACTCGATGCAATGGGCGATTACAAACCATTACCTGAAAATACACAACTTCATCAATATTTAACATATAAAAAATATATACAATATAGGTATTGTATATATTTAAAAAAATATATCTTTTTAGTATTTATAGTAAAAATAACATTCATAAACTTAAACTTTTACAGGAACTAAATTAAAACGCCCCTGTTAAAGAGATAACCAACTCAAAACACATGTTGTGTTCAGATGAAAGAAAATGATGAAAATGAAATGCTAAAGCTTGTCTACTGCATTATTATCTAGATATTGAAGCATTTACAAAAGCATCCTTAGTTTAGTAAATATCTTCTTTTAGCAAAACTTTATTATAAACCTTAATTCTTTTTATTTATTTATTTTTAATCTTTTTTTTTTTTTTTTATATGTGAATTTTTTCATCAGTGAAAAATGAACTATGTGAATTAAAATAGTATTAAAAATATAATCAAATAACTTGACATAATTATAATTAATTTACTTGGCATAAAATACCAATAATGACATGACAAATATAAAGTTAAAAATGATGTAAAACAAGTTAATAAGTTAAAAATACTTTGCTCTTTGAATTTATGATTTTTATCCAATTCATTGAAATATGTATTTCCACCTTCATAAGTTTACTTTCCTTTATCCCAGCTTCTGACTTTTTCAGCTGGTGTGCTATCTGAAAAAAAAAAAAAGGAAATATCAAATGAATAAAAAAGTTGTTGTAAGGGCATTTAATTTTTCAATTTTTTTCTTTTTTTAGGTTTAGCAAGAGAGTGTTTTTATAAACCACTTAAAGATGTTTATCTCCTTTAAACTTCATTATCTGCTAAATAAACTACAGAGTCTTCAGCATATTTCATAATTGTGCTGTGTTTAATAGATCAAAGCATTGAACTCAAATGAAAATAATCAAGTCAAAAATAGAACCTTTTGAACTCCTTTGTAGTTTAATCAAAATACAAGAAAAAGAAGAAAAAGCTTGCTATATTTTTACTTATATCTATTTGTGTATGTAATACAAGCCTTGTGAAAAAACATTTAAAATTCAAGGTAAATAATACCTTTCCAATAAACATAGGACTCAAACTAAATGATCTTCTTACATTTTACTTTTTAATTGAACTTTTGACTAATTTATTTTTAAAAAACCCCTGCTTGAGTTATCTATTATCTTGAAATATTTCTAAATTTTTACAAATGAAATAACAACTCCTCACACATGATGAAATATGAACTGAAAACATTAGCTTGTCATTACGTTAAAATATAATTATTTTGGCTAGTATACCATGCTAATATAATAAAAGCATATCATAAGTTTTTATTTAAAGTATTCATTTAAAATACCTAATCATGTGAACTTGTTGATTTTGTTAAAAAGTTTTGCATTCACTGCTTTAGGAAAGGCAAGGATTTAAGACCTATAAAAAAAAAGATGAAACAACATTTAAATCTATATAAAAAAGACCCAAGACCTCAGAGTTATTAGAGGGAGAAAATGTGAATGTTTATATGTGAAAATGGGTACAAATTAAAAATGGAAAAAATAGTGGCCTCAATGGTCAAATGTGTCTCAGGAAAACCTGGTAATAATAGTGCTGAAGATGTTTCAAATAAACCTGCAAAAAGACTTATTTGCCTAGATTGCTATGTCTTATTAGGACAAGAAATTCCACATCCCTATATGAAGTTAGAAAGCAATATGGCAAGAATATGGCAACCTTTGTAAGATCAACATTTTGGTTCAAATCAACTTATTGTTGGAAAGACTTTTAAGAAAACTTTGGATAAATTGAACAAGTGTCAACTAAAACTGAATGAGAACAACAAGCTGATTGAAAAATAACTCAATGATGATAAATTTATATTGTTATTAGGAGTGAATGAAAACAAAAAAGAGGTAAGTAATTTTACCTACAAGGTACTTAAAGATTTAAAAAAAATAGTCTATGGCTGTTTTAGAAAATCATTAAGGTCTACTTATATCAAAGATATAGAGCAGTTATCTATGGACTATATAAATCTAAGGGCTGTAATTGATTTAAAGGTTACACAAGTTGAGCAACATATTATCAAATTCATCAACATGAAACATGGAGTTCTAAAATGATTTTTAATCTTGAAAAAAAAACTAATTATAATAATAGTAATTAAATACTTAGTCTACAAGAGTTAAACTGTTGTAATAGACAGTTAACTGTTGAAGCTTGCACATATTATGCAACTATTCATTAAGTAAACTTGAATTTTTTTTGTATGTTTATTTTCTGTAGGTTAGGTCACCAAACAAGCTCTTGAATTCATTCATTAGGAATTCAATCAGTTTTGGCGAATGAGAAAAGTTGGAGAGCACAACATAATAAAGTGCTAAAAAAGACACTTGTTGCTGTACCAATAATGACAATACTGCTTTATTGTTCAAACAACATGGAGGTGCAATACAAACATGACTCTACTTTTTCAGTACGAAGAAAGTTTGGTTATACGTATATGTGTAAACAAATAAGAAATGTTTGATATTTAATAAAACTTTTAAACCTAAATATTCTGAACTTTATTTTATTTTCAACAATATGTGTGCTAATATTTTAAATTGAATTGAAATTTCAAGATTGACTTTTTTCATTGAGTATTTTACAATTTTTAATCTCTTTTCTTCAAATTTATATTTGCTTCAACTTTTCTTCAAATTTATAGTTTCAACTTTTCTTCAAATTTATATTTGCCTCAACCTTTTTTAATCTCCTCATTTTAATAACCCTAATCTTTTACCGTTACAAGCAATACGTCTGCTTTCTAATTAACAATTTTGAGAGACAAAATCTTCAGGTATGATGTAACTATTCTATTATTTATTTAAATTGTATAGAAACATTATTAGTATTATTGTTTTTATTTAACTTGCAATACACTTCTTGATAACTTCAAATTTAAACAGAGTAAATAACCAGAAAGTCATCATTATGTCTTATTCACTCATCACATATTAAATGCGCTAATTACAAAATTGTAAAGGTAACATTTTCCCATTTTTGCTGTGTTTTATGATTTGAGATTTTTGTTTTTAACACAAATTGTTGTTATTTTTTGTATTATATCTTACCATTTAGATTTAAATTGAATTTAAAATCCATTTAAAAATTTAACAAAATAATATGTCAGAAGTTAAATATGACAAATTATGATGATAATCAATGAACTAAAAAATTAATTTAATAAAAAATCTGATAAATTTTTGCTTGATAATATATTATGTATAAAAACATTTTTGAATCCAAGATATAAACTCCTATACCAACATGCACATAACAACATTATTAAGACATGGAAAGAAGATTTAAAAGAAATGCAATAAAAGTAAATTACTCTGATAACCAGAAGAAAAAAAAACAGGATGAAAAAAGTCCAAAGACTTGGAACCAAATAAAAAATGCTGATGCACGAAATAAAATAAGATAAAAGTTACTAAACAGTTGCAAATAATTTTAATATTTGTTATAGAGAACTTTAGTGTCATAAAACTTACGTAGTTATTTAATATAATGTTAAGTAATGTTAAATTAGTGTGTAGTTTAAATAACAGAAGAAAATTTGGTTTACAAAATTATAAATCAAAATTGATTGAAAATTCAACTTTTTAAAAAAATATTAATTCACCTCCCCAAGGCCATGGAGGCCACTATGGTCGAGGAGATTACTTTTAATTATGGCAATAACCCCTATTTCAACTCTATAACTCCATAACCAGAACCCTGATGAACAAGGCCACTGTGCAGAGAAACAAGTTGAGTACGGTACTACCAAGGACACGGTGGTGATTGAACTTGGAACTTCTTGCTTATGAGCACTACCACTACACCACTATAGCACATTTAGCCAAATTATCAGTGCAAATTAACTTTGCAAAAAACCCAGTAGGGTACCCAAAACCAATGATATAACATAAGCTGGTTCTGGCAAATCTCTATTAGTTATCCTAACACACATATAATGTGATACAACTTATCACAGATTTTACATTTAATTCCAATTTTGCTACCTGCACTCTAGTTGCTAACTCCACAATTATCACTTTCATAATAAAAATTTTATAAAATAACCCTAAAAATAGCTTCACTAAATTAATCAAATAATAAACTTATATAAAAAAACAAAATACCTTTAATTTTCTAATGGCTTCTTTAATGACTTCAACTCCCTTTGATTTTTGCACAGGTATGCATCCTAAATA